ATAATGGTTATCAGTTGGGCTAATATCTGGCAGATGTCTTTTAACCTTAATAAAACTAAGGTTGTATGTTATGGTTATCACAACAATAATTATTCTCTTATCTTTACTGGATAAACTAGATGAGGTTCAGAAGAAAAAAGATCTGGACATAAATATTTCAGAGTTTAAATGCTTCTAGGCAGTGTAAGTTAGATAGTAATAAGGCAAATATGAATTTAGGTTTTATACTAAAATATTGTATACTAAGTAAGTATAAGTTGAAGGAGACCATTATTTGATTCTATAAAGTGGAGATTAGGCCTCATTTGGAATGTTCTTACTTTATTTAAGAAAGGATTTTACATTGTTGGAAAGAGCTATGAGAAATTCCTTGTTTGTAAGAGCTACTGCATTGCAAAAAGTTAAAATCTCTTGACATCTTTGCATTAGAGAAAAGGGCTTAGCAGGGTGAAAGGACACAGATGGTGTCTACTTACTGAATAATTTGCTGAAAAAAATACTGATCAAAACATTTCAAATCTAAATTTTCACCGTGCAATGCCGGGTAACTCAGCTAGTATATATATAAGGAATGACTATTCTGAACTTACCAAAAAAGCAACTGTCACACTGGGTGCAATTATATTTATAATTTCAATTCAATAAGATGTCTACTATTAACTAAGTAACACTGCCTTAACTGGAATGTTGTCCAAGTTTTTAATATGTTATATTTGTGTCTTATAATCTTAATGCCTGCATCTCTTTTGATTTATACATTTCAAACTTCTAACAGTCATAAAAATAAAAGCTGTAATGCAAGAAATAAAAAAGCATTTAATCAAACAAAGCTTTATTTGAAATTAGAATTTACAATACTTCTTTATATACAACATTGCATGTTTTTCCAAAAGGAGAGTATACATAAAGATTGTTAGCTGTTCCTACTCTAGAGCATCCTACATACAGTTGACCACGAGAGAAGCAGTCTTCTTGTAACTGTAGCCCAACAACTTTCACTGTTTGTCCCTGTGATTTGTTGATCGACATGACAAAACTTAATCTTACTGGAAATTGTAAGTGCCTAAACTGAAACGGCATCTCTGATGTTATTAGAGGTATCCTAGGAATAAAAGTATCTTCACCCTTGCCACAACCAGTTTGAATTTGTGCTTCAATGACATGAGGCTGTAATGCCTTTATTATTAATCTGGTACCATTGCAGAGATTACGCTGATCTAAATTTCGTAGAAGCATTATAGGAGCTCCAACTTTAAGTTGTAGTTGGTGAGGAGACAATCCTGGAAATTCCAAAGGATTTAGAAACTCCGTTGGATAGTTGACAACTTCATTTTGATCAATAACTGTATCAATGGATTTGTAAATATAAGTAATTCATTCATTAATTATTAATTTTTGTCATGGTCCAAAAAATTTATTACAAAAAAATGGCGCAATAATCATCAATTGTCAATTTTGTCATTAAATACTATACCAAATACAAAATAAATAGCACTATTGAATTTCTTGTAAAAAACTGGTTATTATGAAGTTATTTTAAAATTTGCAAGTTCAACCATTTGGTTTCCTATAGCGAACAAATGAACAAACTTCCTCTTTTATATATTTCAAGAGGTGGTTATTTGTATAAAATTATTATATTTAACAGAGGTTCCATAATTTAAACAAAAACAAAATGTCTTACAGGAGTGTTTGTATTGGTAACAGAGAAGCTCTATTTCCTGTGAGTTATTTTTCATATTAACAGAGGTTCCATAATTTAAACAAAAACAAAACGTCTTACAGGAGTGTTTGTATTGGTAACAGAGAAGCTCTATTTCCTGTGAGTTATTTTTCGTATTAACAGAGGTTCCATAATTTAAACAAAAACAAAACGTCTTACAGGAGTGTTTGTATTGGTAACAGAGAAGCTCTATTTCCTGTGAGTTATTTTTCGTATTAACAGAGGTTCCATAATTTAAACAAAAACAAAACGTCTTACAG